GCTACCACTAAGCCGTCTCCGAAGTGCAGAGTGTGCCAAAAGGAAGGCCACTACGGATCCGACTGTAACAAATTTAAAGAAGCGGATACCGACAAAAGATGGGAACTCGCAAAACAATATAATTTGTGTTTCCGGTGTTTGCGATACAAAAACCAAACACACCAATGTAAAACCACGAAGTGTGGAATAAAAGGATGCACCGCGACACACAATAGACTTCTCCACCATTATAAAAAGGAGAAAACGGAGGTCACACAAATAAAACCTCAGGAAACAGTTGCAAATTCATTCGCCGTGTCAAAACATCACGCTTATTTAAAAATAATACCAGTCCGAGTAATTGGACCGGCGGGAGCTGTAAATACACACGCCCTGCTGGATGACGGGTCAACAGTCTCATTAATGGATGAGGAAATAGCCAAACAAATTGGAGCAACAGGGCGGTTGGACCCCTTTAAGATCACCGCCATCGGGAACAATACCCTTGATTCGCCGAACTCCCGACGAGTCAAAGTTTCGCTCAAGAGTCTCCACAGGAAAAGGGTGCAATTCAGAGCACGCACGGTCGCCAGCCTAAACTTGGGGCCACAGACTGTGCGTGCAGTAGATATAGAAAAGTGTAGACATTTAAAAGACCTGAAGGAGCAATTAATATACGACTCCGGCAACCCGAGGATCTTAATAGGACAAGATAATTGGAGACTCTTGATAGCCACTCAAATTCGCAGAGGTCCGCCGCACCAACCAATCGCCTCGCTCACAGAATTAGGATGGGTGCTACACGGGGCACACACTAAAGCCCCGTATCAGCGCGTCCACGCGGCCAATGAGCTGCACAAGAGCGAGGAGTCCATAAATGACCAACTCCGCGACTATTTCGCGCTGGAGTCTCTCGTAATCAATCCGAGAAGACCAGACTCTGATCCAGAGAAGAAAGCCGAAGACATACTAAATAACAGCACCCGTCAGTTGGAAGACGGGCACATAGAGACGGCGCTTCTCTGGAAGAAGAAAGATGCCGAAATGCCTGGCAATTATGAAACAGCCATAAAAAGGCTCGTTTCAATCGAGAAAAAATTACATCGAGACGAAAATCTAAAACAGAAATACAACGAACATATGAACTCCCTAGTACAAAAGGGATACGCCGAGATAGCACCAAAAACCAATACACCAGGAAGGACATGGTACCTACCCCATTTTGACGTTCACAACCCGATGAAGCCAGAGAAGTTCAGAATAGTGCATGATGCCGCAGCCAAAACAAAGGGGGTGGCGTTGAACGACTTCCTGCTCACGGGTCCAGACCTACTGCAGTCGCTACCAGGGGTCATGATGCGTTTTCGTCACCATAACGTCGCTGTCTCGGCGGACATCGCCGAAATGTTTATGCAGGTAAAAGTTAGACCCGAAGACAGAGATGCCTTAAGATATCTCTGGAGAGGGAATCGACGTAATGAGGCACCCCAAGAATACAGGATGACGTCGATTATTTTCGGTGCAGCTAGTTCACCCTGCACAGCCATATACGCAAAAAACTGGAATGCTAAAAAATATGTTGAAAAATACCCAGAAGCCGTAGAAGCGATCATCCAAAATCATTATATGGATGACTATCTTGACAGTTTCCAGTCAGTAGAAGATGCGATGAGAATATCAAAGGAAGTACGCGATATACACAAAAACGCGCACTTCACCTTAAGAAAATGGGTTTCCAACGCGCCCGAAATTGTGAGAGAATTGGAACCTGACCGCGAGGCAACTGAGTCAGTTGACCTGAGCAACAAGGAAAACGAAGAAAAAGTACTCGGACTAATCTGGAAACCGAGTACCGATCAGCTGAGCTTCAATCTAAAGCTCGCTCGACTTCCGATCGATGTGCTCCATAAAAAACCAACCAAGAGGGAAGCACTGAAAATAGTGATGTCGCTGTATGACCCGCTCGGCCTCGCCTCCCCAGTTACAATTCGAGCAAAGCAAATACTGCAGGAAGCATGGAGACGAGGAACTGACTGGGACCAGGAGTTGGACGAAGACCTAACTGAACAGTGGTCCGCGTGGATCCAACACCTGAAACGACTTAAATTGGTGAGCATACCAAGATGCTACCCAGGATTCAGCGACGCATGTTCACTACAAGTCCACGTGTTTACCGATGCCAGTGAGAGCGCCTACGCAACGGCAGTCTACTGGAGGGCAATGACACCTGATGGGAAGGTACACGTGAGCCTCGTCATGGCCAAGGCGAAGGTAGCCCCACTCAAAGTAACATCCATACCTCGCCTTGAGTTACAAGCCGCCGTGATGGGAAGTCGCGTAGCTGCTGCCGTCATCCAGGAGCATCGCGTAAAGCCCGAAGCTGTCACATATTGGACTGACAGCAAGACTGTCCTCACATGGATACAAAAGGGGTCCAGAACTTATAAACCTTTTGTTGCGCACCGAATAGCAGCAATCGAGGACAATTGTAAAGTAGATGACTGGCGCTGGGTACCTACTAAACTAAACATAACTGACACCGCCACGAGGGACGTACCACCGAACTTCGACGCAAATCATGAGTGGTACTGCGGCCCATCATTTCTGTACAAAGAACCGTCAGCATGGCCAACCGAAAGACCCACGTTATCCGAACCCACCGGTGAGGAAAAATGCCTCACCATTACAGAATCACATAGACCGGAACTTCAAAACCGGCGGGAGGCCCGTGGACGAGGCCCCATCTCCAGGGTGGAAGCTGTTTCCCCGGTGCGGACGGACAGATCCGCACTGTGGAGGTACGAACCGCGAACGGCCTAATCAAGAGGCCAACCAAGAAACTCGTGCCGCTACCGAAGTAAAAAGTAACGTCGCTCACCGAAATGGATGCAGCGCCACTACGATGAGATCTTCGCGACGCTGCACGGCGGGAGAGATGTTCGCGACGGTTTAAAGACTTTAAGCAAAAAGTGATTAAAGAATATTAAATTGTTTTAGAAAAGTGAAACTAGCGACAAAATCGAACAAATTGTGTTTTAATATAGTTTTACAGTATGTTTACAACTCGTAATATATTTGTATAAAGTATCGTTTTAATAATAAGTTGATATAAACGACTTTAAACATTAAATAAAATTTCGACCAATCACAGCGCAGCATATCGTGGAACTTTCTAGAAGTTAATTAACTGCGCAATAGTTTATATGAAAATAATGAGAATATTTTTATGGTCTGAAAGAATTGTAAATACGATATTTAGTTAGCATATGGTGTATAGATTGAAATAAGTAAATAGATAATTTATGTAAATAAACGCATTTGAGAAATATAGTAAAATTAAAGATTTAATGTGCACTTTTGTTATGTAAATTAGGTACATTTTGATTAATAACTTTTTTGAATGTAAATATATCAAGTAACCCTTATCACAATGATAAAGGACCAAAATGCCTATTTTATAGTGTATAGCGTGTTAATTTAAAAATTAGCATTATATAGAAAAATTGCGATTTGTGCAAATTACGTAATGAAAATGTTTGATAATAAAAAGGCAAAACCGGAAATTGGCAAGCGGCTCTCTATAGAGTATAGCCGAAGTCTACCTTATGGGGGCAAATCACAGTAACATTGTGTAGTATGAAGAACTACCAGTAACAAGCAGTAGTATCCGGTAGTAGCTGAAGTGACTAGTAGCAGAACACAGTGAAAAGTTAAAGTGAAATAGAAAAAGTTTAGCTAGCCGAAAAAGGTCGTAACTGAAAAATCGCAGTTACACATAGTCGGAAAAAGTGGCAACTGAAAATTCTCAGTTGCATATAGTAAAATAGTGTCAGCTAGCCAAAAATAGTGGTAACTGATATTCGCAGTTACATATAGTGAAAAAGTGTTGGCTAGCTGAAAAAAGTGATAACGGAAATTTCGCCGTTACATATAGTGAAAAGTGTTAGCTAGACGGAAAAAGTGGTAACTGATATTCGCAGTTACAAAAGTGTTAAATTCAACTAAATTTAGTTGATTAATAGCTGCTAGTCAGTAGTGTTAGAAAACCAGCTGCTACCAATAGAAATATTTGATACTACCAATAGAAATTTGTTACTCCCAATAGATATTCAAAATTACCAATAGAAATTGTAGAGAATACCAATAGAAACTTGTTACTGCCAATAGAATTTTGATATTACCAACAGATATTTTGAAAATACGAATAGAAATTTTAAAAAACCAATAGAAATTTTAATATTACTGTGTGTTTAATTAAATCTGTGTTTTAAAATATATAGTGAATAATCATAGTTGAAAAACAGTGTTAAAATAAATAAATAAGTTATAATATTTCGCAACTAATTAATCAGTTGAACCGCTGGCCACTCCCTTGCTATTTTAATTTATAAATCGTGCATTTTTAATTCTGAACCTCAGTCCACAGTTCTCCAACAGCATACACAAAGGCGGTAGTGAAAGTATCCACCGGAACCTATAGGTGTAGGACGTGAGCGGCTCGCGGAGTATCTTCGACAACATTTACTCCGGAGAGTTACGCCCGTCCGGCACAGAATGTTTGGCGAATAATATTTTTTTTAAATAATTAAATTCCAGACTAACCCTTACAGAAATGAGCGGAGGCCTGTGCCCAGCTGTGATCGAACATGATTATTGAGGCAAATCCTTATGGTTATTATTGACAACTATTGCAAACTACTAGAACTATCTAGCATTTTCCATTGTCTCTGATGATACCTGACGGATATCATATACATAGCTTATTCTTTAATAGCACATATACACAGATGATTCCGGTGATTAGCGGCAGATTTAGATGACTGCAGTATCAACTATTGAACAACTTTGATGTCGCTCTCCATTGCATTATCGCACGTTGTGTTTTTTTACGTCTGACATTTCCTATCGAGTAGTCATCTTTTACGACACCCATTGGACGGAACGGGATATTGCTAACTTTTATGCCTCCACCACGTCATAATTCTATTAAAAATATATAAATATAAAAAACAAAAACTAACCACAAGATAGGATGCCTCCAAGTCCGCAGAGCGCAAAGTATTTGGGCGAGGCGAACTCGCAGGAGTCGCCTTGCACCACCGCCGCCGCCGCCATGCCACTCTACAATAAAAACATTATATATAGCCTGTCTTACATTGTATCCAAACACAGCTCCCAATTTATCACACAAATGCTAGTACTTCTTATTGTGCATACATAAATAAATAATAGACTTTTCAAATTGGCAGACTTCGTTTCTGGTTGGACCAATGTCTAACATATCTATCTAACATTTTAAAAGCTGGTAAAGTAGAACAAATATAATAAACAAAGCCCTCAGCTCTCATAATCCTTTGATCATTGGGCAACCCTGCAGTACACTAGTGTCATTGAACATGCTACCCGAAGGCAGAGTGACATCTTGACATCACTGGACAACACCACCCTGTACTACAGCACCCCTCTGGCATGAGTTGTCATCATCGGGCATGTTTAAATTTTTATTTATTTAAATCATGGAATCTGAGAAAGAAGTCCCTCAAAAAAATTTGTCTAATGTTATGCAATATGCTATACAAATAAATAAAATTGAAGTGTCTGTATTGTAACGTCAAAATAACAGCTTTTAACTAAATGCATATGAAAGTATGTACCTTACTTATAACAAAAACACATTTTTTTTCAGATTTTTTTGTCTGTCTGTTTGTTCTAGCTAATCTTTGAAACGACTGGACCGATTTTGACAGGACTTTCACTGTCAGATAGCTGATGTTATAAGGAGTAACTTAGGATACTTTTGTTTTAGAAAAACGATTAGTTCCGCGCAAAAAAATAGCCGTGGCTTGGTCACCCGCGGTGAACTAAGAGAAACCCACATGGATGACTCGAGGTGTAGGCCGGCCCGAGGTGGCCACTCCGAGTGGGCTTGGCGAGCCCACTTCGGATGTGTGTTGGTGGGCTGCGGTGGAAGGGGTGCCCTCTCCCGCTACAGCTGAGGTAGAGTCGCGGAGGAAGAGGAGTGGTTGTTATGGTGATGCGCCACTCGCCCTTTCCTCCGCGACTCTGACGAGGCTGCACCGTTAATTGATGGTGGAGCTGCGGTGGGAGAGGAGTATCAGTATTGCAAGGCCCTGCTCTTCCTACCCTCCGCAGCCGAATCTTGGTTCGCGGCGGAGCCACAGACCAGATCCGCCACTGGGGTCAGAAAGGCTAGTGCTTCTGAGTGCTCATTTTTCCAGGCCCCATGGCCTTCATGCATCGGACACGGGGGCGTCCGATGCGCATGTGAAGTTGGAGGCCGCGGAGGAGGGCACGCCATGTGTTCTGAGGTCGCGAATGTGTGCGATAGCGTTCCAGTGGCCCTGTCAATATGCGACGAAGGTGAAACACCATGCGATTTTAGTCGGTGCGAATACAACATAACCCGTAATTGCCCTCGCGAGGCGGGTATGCGTAGGCATTTCCCCATGTAAAAAACCGGCCAAGTGCGAGTCGGATTCGCGCACCGAAGGTTCCGAACAAATCCGTAGGTATATAAGTTTTTCTACGTGGTAGAGCCATGCTGCAGCTATATTATGGTTGTAGCACGAATGGGTCGGCTCGACCGGGGAAGGACCACGCTCTCACAGAAAACCAGCGTAAAATAGCAGCTTAACGCTGCTGTGTTTCATATGGTGAGTGTAGAGAACCGGAGACCCTTTTTACTGGCAAAGAGGCATTCCATCTTAGTCCTCACGGGTGACAACGCATCTGCATCTTGAGTCTTTATTGAGGATAGATGTAGATGTCTATGGGTCACAGTAACCACTTACCATCAGGTGGACTGTGTGCTCGTTTGTCACCCGATCCTATAAAAAAAAATTATTAAAAATATTTTTATTATATGATGTAACAAAAAATTTATGCTTTTCGCAATTTTTCCTTTATCTGTGCTATAAAACGTTGCATCGTACCAAATTTCAAGATTCTGAGTTTACGGGAAGTAGCCTGTAGGATTTGATTCCCTTGCTAATGTCGAAAATTTGCGGCATAAACGGCTGTATCTTTTGGATTTTTTCACAGCTCCAAGGGACAGTAGACTTGAGTATTTGATATGAATTCCAGCTTGATACTTCCACGCGTTCCTGAGAAACAGGGTCTTGACAGACAGACTGATGGACAACAAAGTGATCCTATAAGGGTGTCCGTTTTTTCCTTTTGAGGTACGGAACCCTAAAAAAAGAAAGGTGTCCATGGACTGCAGTGGCCACTTACCATCAGATGGACTGTGTGTTTGTTTGTAGAAGCGAAACCTTCAGGAAACTAAACTTCGAGAGGAAATAAATGCTAAATATCAGGAGTAGGATAATTGTAGGGTTTAAGTAATCAATATCTATACATACAATAACAACCAGAGGGGTAGGCAGAGACTACGGACTTCCATTTGGCACGATCCTGGCACATCTCTCTCACCTCCTTCATATACCTACGCATACCCGCTCGTCGGTTAAAAGTACTCTTAATTTGGCCCATTTTCAATATATCGCCAATTTGGTCGATAAAACTTCGCCTAGGGCGTCCCTGCCCGACTTTATCGTTCACTTCTGCAACATAAATTTGCTTTGTCACTCTTTCCTCATTTATTCTTTCTACATGACCAAACCACCTAACCTTTCTTTTCTTAATTTTAGTCACAACATCGTGTTGCAAACCACACTCTTCTCTTATCACACAATTTCTCAACCTGTCATTCAGATTCAGCCCTAGCATAATGACCACATTTCTACAGCATTTATTCTACTCTCGTGCTTCTTCTGCCACATCCAACTTTTACTACCATACATTAAAGTAGGGACTAACATAGCATTGTGAATTGCCATACATGCCTTTTTGGACACATTCTAACCTTTCACTATAGAGTTTAGAGCCCCATTTACTCTATTTCCTGCATTCACTCGTCATTCTATATCCATATCATAACTAACATCTTTGCTAATTACACATCCCTAATACACAAACTCAACACAAATTGGTCAAAATATAAACAAATTATAATAAACACTGTATAAAGTAAAATTCTATCTCATTCCCTCGCAGGCTAAATCCTAATGCATGCCTAGTGCAAAGTGTGTAGGTATGTTCTACTAGCACCTAAAAATCAAGATTCCAACGTTTTGTCGCATAAAATCGTATCTAACAATCATATTGAACATAACATCTATTCCACCTCCGAAGGTGCAGGCTAAATCCTATATGTCTCTTTTCAGTGTCGCTTTTCCGTTTCATCGACTTTGAAATCACAACGATTCTACAACAGTTTTCCCTTAAAACAAATAATACTGTGTGATTGTGGCATAAGGTAATTTATTACTCTACTTCTTACCATGTGCCTGCTTCTCATGAAATCTTGGAAAACTTTGTCAAATAATCCCTAAAAGTTAAGGAAAAACAAATACATTGTGTAAGTGTAGAAAATTCTACACTCCAATACTCAACCCTTACGCAGTGTTGGAGTGTAGATGATATAGATTCTGGATAATTAAGAATAACAAGGGGAAAAACTCAAAATTTTGTACAACCAACTTCAATATAAATTATTAAGGATAACTCAAAAACTACATGTCATACCTTAATCAAATTTATATGGAACCACATGAGAAGCAACAGCTTTCAAATAAAAAAAGAATCATCAAAATTGATTCACCTAGAAAAAAGTTATGAGGTAACACACATAAAAAACGGAAAACTGAAGAATTCTGTACCATCGTAATACACATTTCTAGTAGAGGAGCTCCTTTTAATTTTTTGTAGTTCTAGCGGCAACAGAAATACACTTTCTATGAAAATTTCAACTGTCTATCTGTTACAGACCATGAGATACAGCCTGCTGACAGACAAAGACGGACGGACGGACAGCAGAGGCTTAGTAATAGGGTCCTGTTACCCTTTGGGTAACGAACCATAAAATAACAGTCTAATTGAGTACCTCCTCCTATTTGAAGGTGGTTAAAAATTAAAACTCCACCCTTTACCTATATTTAGCTAACAATCTACAGTCTTATATGTTTGAGACATTTATTCTACAACAATACCTAGTAGACAATTTCTTCCAGTACAAGTCCACATGTTCTATCTTGGCTAGGCTTAAGTTAGCTCTCCGTGACATTTGCACATATACCAATTATGGCAGCCTGGCAGGGCGTCTATAGAGATGTGCCACTTCATATTCCCTCCTAAGATTGCTTAAGGAAAAGTTTGCTTTGTCTATACTGATCATAGAATAAATTTTAAATTATGTTTTTTATGATATCTTTTATATACTTTAATGAAACAGTAGTATCTTTTTAAAGGTTAAATATAGTAACACATGATATTGGCGGAGACAACAATTTACAAAATCTTTAATACTCATCATCCTTACTGTATTAAATATTGATGATCATGTTTCATTTACACATCAATTAAATTATAATTTATGAGTATTTACATAACCACGCAATATACTTATTAGCAACTTTGTCTAGATTACCACCATTTTGTTCCTAAATACTATATCTTTGCATCCATTTGCAAGACTATAACGTAACATATTGAATTATTACACACCTGTGCAGCTTGTGGTGCAGCAAGTGAAGATGGTTCACATTGTGCAGGAGTGAGGGGCCCACGGAATGGTGAGTTCCGAGCTACGTCCAAAAGGGATGAGAACATTATACTGTAAAATAAAAATAGTTTATATTAGATTGAAGTAAAATTGTTCAGATATTGTTATAACCATAACTAACAATATTATTATAGATAACAATGTTTCCAAAGTATAAAAACATAAGTTATCAAAACATCTTAGAAGTATTACTTTTTGGGAGGTTTTGCAGATTATATAATAAATGTTTGAAATCTCAAAGTAGTAGTGTATTAAGAAATAAAATAAAATTTAAGTTTCGAAAAAGTATTTTTGCTTATCTGTAACCTCTTCCCATTATTATAAATCTGATGTAGTTATATAACAAGGATCAAATACATAATTTTTTTTGAGCTGTAAATGTTTAAAGTTTCATCTTTTATTTATCTGTAAATTTACTTTTTATTAACACCAACTTTTGCTAGAATTGTTTTTACACTCATTTTAGAATATAATTTTAGATTACAAATTTAATATTTTAATAATAAATTTAATATTTCATGATTATTAATCATAATGTTGCAAGTTCGGCTGAAAAAATCGTATAAACATGAAACAGTGATAACATGAAACTAAACAAATTGCAAAGACTATGTGGAATATTTATATACTCTCACTGAAGGAAATATAAAATTTTGAACATAGAAATTTATTTTGATTCCCTAATTTGGTGTCCTCGAAGAGGTTATACAAGTCATTGCCAATACAATGTCATGTCTTTATAAAATGATTAAGTAATAAAAAGCATTTATAATGTACTTCATACTTCATATATGTATCTTTGTACATATTAATAACGTTGAAATAAATCAATAATAGTTAAATTCCTAAAAAATTATAATAATTGTACCAAATTGCAAATAATCAATACTGTTAGTTACATTACAGAGGTCGATGCGGCCATCTAGATAATCGTTAATATTAAAGAGTTATGAATGGGCGAAACATTTGAGGACATTGTCTTACTTTATCGTAGATACATTTAACAAATTTAGGAAACTTAAATGGGGCAAGGTAACGTGCAAACAACGATATCAAAGTTACGTAAGGTAAAACGTTAAAGTAAAACGCCGTATAAATGTATAAAGTCCAGTCCAATTATTTAAATATAATAAATATCTTAGTAAAAGGGATAAATTCAAGTAAACAAAATGAAATAAAACATACTTACATGTCTAAAATCCGATAGTAATATACCGCACACTGCACCGCGCTCGACGCACACACAGAACACATGTACGACGCACAGTGGTAAAGGAACTAAAAGTTAGGTTGACGCAGGGTTGCCAACTTTATTTTTTAGGAGATAGTACCATAAACTGGAAAAGATCGTATTTTGCTAAGAACTCAAGAAAAAAATCAATATTTCAATAAAACAATGGTAAAAAATACAAAAATAGTATTATTATAATGTCACAGCAAAATTTTACATTTAGGGTACAACCATATAACATTTAAGAATCTGAGACTAAACTTTACTACGACTTTTTTTTAATTAAAAAAGGGGCTTGGCTATGTCCACTCTGCCCTCTATTACAAAAATATATAAATATAAATAACAAAAATATGTAATATATGATTATCTGCGAAGTGAAATATTATTTGGATTAGGACCACAAACCAGTAAGAAGTGCTAGCGCATGGATTAGGACGAATGGAATGACGTAAACCAAACTCGAAGAAAGGCGGTTAAACTGCGCGGCGAATTCCTTAATCGGCGGCGAGTTGACAGAATAGTATAATACCACAAACTATAATATAAAGATTTGAAAAGATCGTATATTTTACGTACGATTTCGAATACATAATCGTACATCGTACTAGGGCCAAAAGGATCGTATGAATACGATTTAAATCGTACGGTTGGCAACACTGGGTTGACGTCTCGTCTCACGATGCAAGGCCCACCGCCATGTCAATTCGCCGGATGTTAAGTAAATTATTCGTGTTGCCAGCTGCGGCTACGAAAACTTACTAGAAAATGCTCTATGGTTTAGTAAGTTTTTTATTTTAAATCACGTTAAGTAAAATAGATTTCAGGATTTACGATACTTTGCGTTATTTATTTTATTGCCTTTTCCGTACCTTATTTACAAAAAGGCCTTGGCAAAAATATTTAAAAGTGATATGCTCTTATTTTCCGATTTAATAGAAAAATATCCTAATGCTGATATTTGGAATATAAGATGGAGATTTTCGTTACCATCCGAGAGTTGGTGTTCGATAGATACCTATTAGATTTATATTATAATATAAATATTCGCGGCTTTGGGGTACACCAATAGGTATTCAATTTCATCATCATCATCATTATCGTTATTATTACAACCCATCACAAGTCCACTGGAGCCACCCGAAAGAATGCCGCAAAGCTCGGTCCAGAGTCACCCGTGTGGCGGGTGGGCTAACTACTACTAAAGCTAGATGGCTTGCAGAATCTGAAGACTGCAGACAATATCTGCTCGGTAGCGAATGAATGGGGGTACTTGAGGATGATGAAGGTTTGAAGGTGTAGTTTCCGAAGGTTTGTTGGTTGCGGGTTCATATCACGTCGGGGTCACCACTGTACCGGGTGGAAGGAAAAGGGGAGATTTCCCGCCGGGAGAGGTGTTCTGCCCGAGGAGCAGCCAACGCTCCAATTGGTAGTTCGGAGCTATATGCTATATGCTGCTTTAACTTCGGAACTTTGTTCTGATTCCTGATTCCGGAACAATGTTGTGGTCACAGTATAAATCCACAAACGAACGCAGTCGCACACGTAGGTATAGATCTTGAGGTTCTTGCTAGCCTAGTAGGTATTCGCTCGCGTTCGAGACGAGTGAACGCCGCAGCCGCTTGACACAACTGTAGGTATTAGTACCGAAAAAAGCCGACAATACACAATTGTTTATGTTAAAGAAATACCTACCTATGAACACTAACTGATGTTCGTACTCCGACCATCGAGTTGTTTATTAAGTCTAGTAAACATTTGATTCCATATTTCCATCACACTTTTTAGGCGTTGGACTGTCGACTCTGAATAATTTTGTTTATTGATAATGATACAATGTTAATAGGCAATATTCGTTACAAAATGTTATGCATTAGGATAACATTTTGATTGTAATTGTAAATAATAACGAACTGCTAAAAATAAGAGGCGATACGACACCATAATTCAAGACGGCGTGTTTAAAAGATGTGAATCAAAATTATTTACAATAATTAAAAAAAAAATGAAATACTTAACTTACTGATAGCCTAACACTCATGCAACGTTGTACTCGTATTTTTAATACACTTTCAAAATGTCCACCATCTTGTTCAATACATTTTAATGACAGTTTTCTCAACTGGTATTTTAAATTAGAAAGCACTTCAGTGTAATTTTTCACTATTCAAAAAAAAATAGGATAGTGAATATCCTATTTTTTAGGTCCTCGGCACTTGTTGTCTCACTAAAATAAACTAATTATTTAATACGTCCCCACAAAAAAAAGTCAAGAGGCGTCAAATCAGCTGATCTGGGAGGCCACTGGACAGGGCCGCCGTGGTCGATCCAGTGCTCTCCAAACTCATCATCAAGGTGCTGTCGAACACTCCTAGTAAAATGAGCAGGGGGAACCATCGTATTGGTAGTATAACTCTTGTAAATTATTAAGAGGTATGTCTTCTAGCAGCGTAGGTAGAGTTTCTCGTAAAAACAGTAAATATGCGTCTCCTGTTAATCTTTGTAAGAACATAGGTCCCAGTATGTGTGTACCAATGACACCGGCCCAGACTTTAACTGAGAAACGGTGTTGGAAGAAATCTACTCTGCATGCGTGAGGATTTTTGTGCATCCATAAATGTGTGTTGTGTTGATTGTACATTTACATTACATTACATTACATACATTTCACATTTACACGTGTGAATGTACTTTCATGTATTCAAATTATGTTCCGCTGCCAATTTTCTAATAACTATCGGCTGAACTGCAAGCGTGTTGCGTAATCGTTTGGAGTCAACTCCTGGCACCTTCTGAGGTGGAATGGATGTTATGTTCAATATGATTGTTAGATACGATTTTATGCGACAAAACGTTGGTATTACGGATCGCCGTAATGCCGTGCGAAAAATGGAATAAAACGCGCTGGTCTTGCTTTTAACTGGAGGCAAGCGGCGGTGAGGAGGAACTTGTACTTTTTCTTTTCTTGCTGGTGCCTTTTCGGTGGCTGGAGAGCGACTGCTGACCCTAGTTTTTTTTTTTTTTTTTTTTTTTGCGCCCGAAGCAATTGGAAAAGGGCTACCCCGAAGGGAGGCAGAAAATGCATTACGCATACCACGATGGCCGGTCCATCGTGGTTATGAGGGACTCACTACCTACAAGGGGGAACCTAAGTGATACCCTCTAAAAACTGCCTTTGGGGACTGGCAACCAGCTGTTGAAAGCTTCACATGCCGTATCGTAAAGCGACCCTCTTTTGGGAAAAGAGGGCGCAGGCGGCTATAAGTCGCTGAGGGAGTGCCTGGGAAGGCAAATTAATTATGAATAACTTAATTAGAGTTGGCCTGAGCCGCCAGGAGGCAGTTCAGGTCGTTTGAAAGTTTATTAGGCGGGTCCGAGAGGGAGTTCCTCGGCCTGCGGACGCTATAGCGGGAGGGGAGTGGGGCTGCATAATTAGCAGCCTCACGAATAAAATGATTGGAATGCGACTCTGAGGCTTTGAAGAAGTTCTCAGAGAGTTTTTTAAGGAATTGTTGAATTGTAGGGAGCTCTAGGTCCCGATGAAGGTCGGCATTGCGGACGTACCAAGGTGCGTTAGCAGCTCGACGACAGAAAAGGTTTTGAACTACTTGGAGTTCATTAATAATTTTAGGGTTAGAGTGGGCGAAAATGGGGCCCGCGTAGGACATGACTGGTCGTATACAGACCTTATAAAGGGTACGCTTGTTTCTGAGGGACATTTTACTGTGTCGGCCCAACATACTGTTGAGCCTATTCAGGTAAAAACGTGCGTGACGGGTTACTCTTTTGACGTGGGGCCTGAAAGTTAGCCCTGTGTCTAGAGTGACACCTAAATATTTGGCAGACGTATGCCAGGGGACAGGGGTCCCTAGCATACGTATTGGTGGAGTGTTTTTGAGACGGCGTCGTTTATAATCGAAGTGAACGGCGGAGCTCTTCTCCGGGTTCACATCGATGCGCCATTTTTTGAACCAAGCTCCTAGGTCATCAACTGACTTTTGGACCTTGTTCCGTATGAAAGGTAGCGAGATACCTTTGCAGTAGAGAGCAGTGTCGTCTGCGAAGAGGGAGAGCTGAACACCTTTCGGCGGAATGGGAATGTCGTTGGTGAACAGTATGTACAGCAGAGGAGCAAGAACTGAGCCCTGAGGGACACCAGCTTTGATGGGGCGCTGTGAAGATAGCGTGCCTTCGTGTCTAAAACGAAAGGTACGATGATTAAGATAAGAGGCCACGAGACGTACTAGACGATCGGGGAGACCTATTTTGTATAGTTTGTAGATAAGGCCTGTATGCCAGACTCTATCGAAGGCTTTGGCGATGTCGAAAAAGACCGCGATAGTCTTATGACGACGGGGATAAAAACCGCTGAGGATATATTCCACAATACGGTGAACTTGTTGGGGGCAGGAGTGTTTCGCTCGGAAACCGAATTGATGGGGAATGATAAGAGGGTCACCGTCTGTGGGAAACAGATGGCGCCTCATGCGATTTTGAATGAATCTTTCAAAGAGCTTGCCCATGGCCTTGAGGAGGCTAATGGGACGATGACTGGAGGGGAGATTAAGAGGCTTGCCTGGCTTGGGAATACCAATCACAGTTGCCTCTCTCCACGTAGTGGGAAAGTAACTAAGGTTGAAGCAGGCATTGAAGATAATAGATAAAAGGGTTAGCACCTGCTCAGGAAAGTTTTTTAGGGCTTGGTTGGAGATGCCATCCGCGCCCGGAGCCTTTTTAGGCTTAAGTCCTTTGATGAGGGATGAAATCTCATCATTGGACACAGAGATAGGTTCGGAGGCTGTAGGGGGCGAGTTCCGGCGGCGGACCTCATCCTCCACTGCCTGGACGTGTGAGGGGTCTACGGGTTGAGAGCTAGGAGAGCATTGAGCGGCAATGCTGTCTGCAAAGCACTCAGCCTTTTCCTCGTCCTCGAAGGCTACCGTACCGTCGGGACGGGAGAGAGGGGGAGTGTGGAAGATAGCGTCTATACGGAGGGCTCTTGCCATCTGATAGTACGCT